GCCCGGGGCAGTGCCCGGCTCCGAGCCCGCTCCCGTCCCGAGCCCCGCGGGCAGGGCGCGCTGCCGCCGCCGGCCCGGCGCACACGGGCTGCGCTGCGCTGCGCTGGGCTCTCACCCCGCCACTTCCCTGCGGACATCGCGGGACAGCCCGGAGTAGGAGGAGAACCAGGAAAGTCGCCGACGGATTCGGCCGCCCGGGCAAAGCCCGGCCCTCTCCTCGCCTCCCTGCGGCTCTGCCCGGCCCCGGCGCCGTCGGAACGCCCCGCGGGGCGGGGAGCCGGCGGGGGCGCAGGGCCCGAGGAGGCTCCGGACCCGCTCCGAGCGGCGCGGTGGGGCCGCGGGGGCGATGGGGGCCGGCGGGGCCATGGGGGGCCGCGGGCTGCTGCCGGTGCTGCTGCTGCTGCTGCTGCTGCTGGGCGCCGCGGGGCCGCTGCTGCTGCAGGCGGAGCCCGTGAGCGCCGAGCGGAGCCTGGCGTGGGGCCCCGGGCTGGACGCGGGCATCACCGTGCCCGTGCGGTACTTCTACATCCAGGCGGTCAGCGCGGCCGGACGGAACTTCTCCCGCTCCCCGCCAGGTACCGATAGTGTGCTCCGCGGGGCGGGGGCGCGGAATGAAAACCGCGCCGCGGTTTTGACGCAGAACCTGGCTGGAGGTGCCCGGCTCTTCCCCTCTTCCCTTCCTCTTTGCTTCCTTCCTTCCTTCCTTTCCCCGTTCCGTGCGGTGGCTGTGCCATCGCTGCTCCCAGGCTGCCCCCCGCGTCCTGTTCCGCAGCGGCCGGGACACGTGGGATGGCAAGCGAAGCCCATGGTCAGAGCCTCCTTTCTTCTGGTGCTGCCCAGTGCCTCCTCTGCTCTCACCAGTATGGAATTTACAGCAAAGAACCGTAAGCTCAGAAAGAACCGGTGTTCCTAGAGCTAGTGGACGTAAAATCCCAGTACACAGCTGGGAAGTGGTAACGTAATTATTTTAACGCCGCGCTCACACCAATTGCTTAAAATCTCTATCTCAGTCAGCAGAGCCCTCTGGGCTCTGTTATCCTACTGCTGCTGCTCCGTTAAGGAGTAATTTTCATTTGTTGTTTACTCAGCACAAGCACAAAGCATCCCATGACACTTCTCCTAAGGGTGGGAATTGGGTTTGTTCTTGCAGGCCAATGGTATGATGCAAGTCAGCTGTTTGCTGCAAGTTAACTCCACACACTCTATATTAATAGTTTAAATTTGGAATAAGAATTACTTTTGTGTCACAGATTCCATAATGAAGATAACCCTGAGGTAGCCCCAGAGGAAATCTAGTGTTTCTAATTTACATAGGGTAGAACCTACTTAATTTGCTGTGTATTGTTTACTGATCACAGAGATGGTACTGAGAGGGCAGCTACCAAGTATGCACGGCCTTTTCATGTCTTGTTAGAAGGCTGCTGCTTGCAAAATTAAGGAGTAGCTGTATATCATACAGGGTATGTCTTCCGTCTGACAGGAGCGTGGATGCTTCATATATTTCAGGTCTGGGCTTTCTCCATCTGCTGTTGCAGCTTGGTGCTGGATGTCAGCACAGTTTTGTAATTGCAGTCCAGAATGTGACTGCATGCTCACTGCCTGTGCGGTGGCAGCTGAGCCGTGGGTTCAAACAACAGGTTGCTAAAGGTGAAAAGATGTGAAGATCAATTGGATTCGCATGCTAGTGTATGTCCTCCAAGATAAACTGGGAGGACATGGGTACTGAGAACCTAGTTTTGATCGCAGCGTGTTCGTGTGTGTTCGTATTGATGTTAATAAATTCAGTGTCCCAGGAAAGTTTCCAAGTCCCCGTGCCATCTGGCATGGGGGCATCTGGCATCTCCATGCATCCCATGACCTGCTGTGGCCTCCAGTCAAAGACAGAGCATGTGTGCTACCAGCAGGGAAGAGCTGTTGCCTCAGCCTGTGCTAACTGCTGTCCAATGCCGGGAATTGTTTAGGAGGGTGCCTAGAATCCTTAAAAAAATTAGCAGTAGAGTTCATCATATTCCAGTGTATGAGCACTGTTTAAAGGATTCATAGAGACCCTGGCTATAAACTTGTGTTCTCGAATAATTTAAAATGTTCAAATCTGTAAAATGTCATTAAGAATTACAATTAACAATATTTATTTAGGTGCCACTCTCCAATATAAACTAAATACATCTCAAAATATACCTGTTGAGATAGAAAAAAATTCACATTATCACCCCTATTGCAAAACAGAAACACTGGTCAGAGTAGCAGAGCTGCGGTTAAGGCATCACATTTGTGAAATTTGTCCAAATCTATTAAATTATTTTTTGTGTACATTAGAATTTCAGTCAAGTGGGTAAGGACTCAATGGGATCCATTATAAAACTTGTATAGCATAATTAGTAGATTTTAAATCCAGATTTGTTTTCTAAATATCTAGTCTGTTCACCAGAATTGATATGCACCATTGCACATTACACTGGAATTTCAACCCAGAGGCTGTAAGTGTTTGACCTGCCTTTGTAGGAAGATGTTGAATGATGCAGAATTCATTCTTTCCCTGGAAAAATTATTTCCAAGATTAAGAAAATCCCTGCTGAAAATACAGAACTTTATTTTAGTGTAAACTGCATAGATTTTTTTCCTTTGTCTACTTGGATAAGCTTTATCCTTCTTTTCTGCTAGGTTTTATCCTAGGTTTAACAACTGCCAACCATGTCTTTATATACTACTGACCATAATAAAATCAGCTGTTAACTGTTGTTCAGATGATCTACACACTCTGCTAACAAATATTTCTCAAGGCTTCCCAGGTATTCTTGCAGGTTTCACCAAATGCTTTCAAAGAGCATGCTTCTTCCAGCTCTCATTCCAGTGCTGCCAAACAGAGTTGTACATCTCAGTTCACTCACCTCCATACCTGGGCACTGCAGGACCTCTCTTTGGTTCTTTGGTTACCATGATCCCTGGGCTTTTGTGATGGTCACACACAAGACCTGTATTTGTTACTGGGTGTATGCTCTTGCATCTGACTCTGAAAGCATAGGCTAATAATTTGTGTGTCTCTGTAGTGAGTCCATCGATTTTGTGATTTTCATCTGTGAAAGTGACCAGCAACAATTCCAGTAAAACAGTTGAATCAAAAAAATCTTCTTTTCAGAAATTTAATTTCTCTTCAGCATACATGTCAGAAATGGGGTGACTAGGTTTTTTTTTGTTCTTCTCTAGCAGTTTGCCTAAATTCAGTATCTTTTCCCTCTTTCCCTCCATTTTGTCACTTGTTCCCCATGTGTGGTGTACCTCTTTTGCAAGCTGCACAGGAGAAAAAAAAATGCGTAAAGCAGGTGGATTATCTGGATTTCTTAAAGTATCCCATTTTGTCTGTATCTATATTTTAGTCTCTCTTCAGTACTGGGAAATTATTTTGGACGTAAATTGCTGTCTCAGACATGTTTTCAGAGTAACAGAGAAGTACTAGCAGTGCTGATTCAGCAAGGACACATTTTTCTTTTGTAATTTCTTTGGATTGAGAGAAACAGAAAAAAAAAAAAAACATGAGTGAAAATACTATGGTAACTTCCTCCAAATAAAAAATAAAAATCAGCAAAAAGCTGTTATGATTAAGTATACAGTAGAGGCCTTGGCCCCATTACACAATGAATGTTGTAAATTACAAACAAGAAGTCTGTTTCCTCCAGTGAATTATTTGTACTTACAGAAGATACTCAGTCTCATTTTTCTTCCTCTTCACTTTCAGTGGAGTTAGCTTTTTCCCAGAGAGCTTTGTTATCAGTCACTTCCCTCACCAAATGATTCCTATATCTAAGGTGCCACAACTAAACCTAACATGTCCTGTGGGTACATCAAGCGCTCATCATGTCTAGAGCAGGACACATATAACTAGCAGGGGAAAAGACCTACGTAGTTACTTCCTGTAGGTGAGGACAAGGATAATATTCAGTAATATTTGACTTCTGATTTCACAATATTCACTCATTTTTATGACAGCTGAAAACTTACTTTTCTTCAGTGGAAATCACTATACCAAATAAAAATGCTGTTTAATAGAATGGATACAAGGAGACAATGACGTGATACCAACAGGAAACAGTTTTCTTTGTGAACCTCATGAGATACTGTGGATGTGAATACTTCTTCATCCAAATAATACTAGGTGATAGTCATAGGGAGAGGGTGCTTGGTTAAAGTCAGCTACTTTGAAGGTAGTTTAAAATGGTGGTTGTGACTTGCAATGACCTTTAGAGGCAGAAATGTTCATTCTTTCAGGATAGTAATTTAATCTGAATATTCTTGCACAGTATTTGACTTGAATTCAATTTCAAGACCCAGTGATCTAAGGAAGACATGATTAATCATTAAAAGACTGGTACTTACCACATCAGTGAATTTATCTGTGGATGCGAAGTATAGGGTTACCTTTGACATCTCAGCCATTTAGTGCTTTTGGGACATATTCAGATTTTAGTAACATCTTGATTTTATCTGGATTTTTTCAGTTTCATTTATTTCTGTATACTACTTGTTGGTAGCATTCATTTGTATTTGTTTGGTTCACAATGCTTAGACTGTCCTACTCTTTTTTTTTTATTAATAAGGTTGACAATGACCACTTGTGATAGAACTAAGGACTACAATAGATTTATGTTTATGCATACTCATATTGTCCATAAATTATTCCATGTCTTAGTGCATTAATGATGAAATGCTGGTGATCTTTAAGCACAGGTCAGACAGATGTCCAGGGAGCATCTCTACTATCATTCTCTTATCCCTGCTTTTCAGTAGCTGGGACTTTAAATGTGCAAGACAGTCAGCAGCAGCCCAAAGCTGAACAATTTGTATGTGACTCCTGCATGCTGCAACTGCCTTTCCACAAGCTGGCAAGTATTCTTTTCTCCTGTTACTTTAACTTGGTTTCCTGTCTTTCTTACTCCAGAGGAAATTATTGTTCCTCAGAGCACTAACTTGAAAACTTAGAATAAAACTTAATCTTAGCTTCAAAATACTGTTAGCCATTCCTTCTGTCTTGTAATCAAATATTTAACCTTTTATCTACACCTGCAGATTTTCCATTTAGAGGTGTGCAGTGACTAAGAATATTTGGTAGGATGATATTTCATCACTGGAAACTAGTTTTTACGAACTTGGTATAATTTAAAAATTGTAGTGAACAATAAATTAAATTCAATGGTCTTAATTCAGTGGAGTTTGCTCATTACCTTTATTTACTAGATGTAATTCTAATAGCTTAAATTGGTTTTGTCTGGTTTTATTTTCCTCTTGCCAGGAAGAACACAGTTCAAAGTGGTAATTAAAGCACTTTCTCCAAAAGAAGTAACCAGAATTTACACCCCTCGGCCTTTGGATAGAAATGATGGTACATTCCTTATGCGGTATCGGATGTATGGAAGTGTCACAAAAGGCTTAAAAATTGAGATATTTTATGGTGATCAGCATGTGGCTCAATCACCTTATATTTTGAAAGGTAAGGGTATTTTTTGATATAATGTGTCAAAGTTCTGAATTAGGATGTATTTGAAACTGCAATACCTGGGCTGTGGTAGCTGTGGACAGCTCAAACAGTTCTGAATCTCCATGTGCTTGGCAGGTTCACAGCAATGGAGCTTCATTTAGCAGAATAATTTCACCCAGATAATACAAAGTCTTGTATTTCTGAAAAAAGAAGAATGTTGCTGTTTTCTCAGTTACACTGCAGAATTCCAGAAATTATAGGAAGGATGATTGCCCAGGAAAGCTTTAGAAAGCATGGTATAAAAATGCCAAGCCACTGTAATGTATAAATTATGTGTGCTGTAGAATCACACATACAGACTCTGGGTGCTTTGTTTTCCACAGAACCAGTTTATCATGAATACTGTGACTGTCCTGAAGAAGACCCTGAGATCTGGCAGGACATGATGTCCTGTCCATCCCAAGAGCCTCAGATTACAGAAGACTTCATTTCGTTTCCCACCATTGACCTGCAGCGAATGCTTAAGGAAATGCCAGCAAAGTTCAGCCAAGCACGAGGTGCTATTGTTCATTACACCATTCGGGATAATCACATCTACCGGCGCTCCTTGGGGAAGTACACAGATTTCAAAATGTTCTCCGATGAAATGCTCCTGTCACTGGCCAGGAAGGTATCGGTTTGGATCATGGCAGACTATCATAGAACCACAGAGTGGTTGGAGTGGGAAGGGAGCTCTGGAGAACATCTTGTCCAACTCCCCTGCCAAAGCGGGTTCACCCAGAACTGGTTGCACAGGATCACCTCTGGGGTGGGTTTTGAATATCCACAGCCTGTCTGGGCAGTCTGTTCCATGGCCCCATCATCCTCACAGTAAGGAAGTTTTCCCTCATACTCAGATGACACTTCCTGTGTTTAAGTATATGCCTGTCTCCCCTTGTCCTGTTGCTGAGCACCATTGGAAAGATTCTGGCCCCATGCTCTTGACAACTGCCCTTAAGATATTTATGAGCATTGACAAGATCCCCTCTCAGTTGTCTCTTGTCCAGGCTAAACATAATTTAATATGGCAGTACTGCAATTGTTGTTGTATCTTCACATGTATGATTCCTGAAGAAAGATTTGACATTCCATCAAGACAACATTGGGTGTTAGGAGTAATGTGTGGGGCTGGTCCTGGCAGTAATGAAAATCCTTGGAAAGTTCCAAGGGGTAAGGCCCAGCTGGGAGTGTTCTGTGGCCTCTGGGTGTTCCTTCCAAACTTGTTTGCAGGGCAGAAGCTTGGAATTCATGCATTGAGCAGAGCTAAATCTATGAACTATCTAGTAGGTGCACTGAGTCTACGTGACATGAGAGAACTGAGGAATAGATGTAAGAGTGACAGACAGCTTCTCTGTGTTATTATCCTGTCTTGGGTACACGTTTAGGTTCGTCTTCCTGATGTGGAGTTTTATCTCAATGTTGGAGACTGGCCGGTTGAGCATCGGAAAGCTAATGATACACCTGGGCCCTTACCTGTCATCTCCTGGTGCGGCTCTCTGGATTCCAGAGATATCGTCCTGCCGACGTATGATGTAACCCACTCAACTCTGGAAACCCTGCGTGGAGTCACCAATGATCTCCTTTCCATTCAAGGAAATACAGGTGAATTAGAGAGTATGGATTTTAAAAGAATTTTGTGATTTTGAAGAAGCAAGTTGCATTCAAATAAGGTGTTGAAGTCTTCAGTTGAAAGTGCCCTGGGACATCTCTGAATACAAGCAGCTTAGTCTTTACAGATTGCAAACATTTCTCAACACTGCCACTACGCAGATGTATCATTTAGAAACAAAATTTAAGAAGTGCAGTTTGCAATAAACATGAATTTTATGTTAAAGATGTCCAGAAGATGCCTAATGTGACCTGGCAAAGTAAAACTAAATGTAATTAAAAGGCCTTTCTCCTCAGTAAAGGGCTCAAATATATTTATTCTAATCAAAGTGTCACCCTTTTTCTGACTGTGTTGTGGTCCAATGTTCTGTGTACAAAAAATTAATTTGAATCCTGAAAGAAGTAAGCTGGTACTGTGCTTCAGCCTCTTTCAAATGAGAAAACATTGTATATATGAAAAAAATACCTCAGAGTGAGATCTCTTGAATTGCTTTTCTGGCTTTGAAAGAGGAGTCAGCTTTACTGACAGGTGTCTTCCTCCCTGTCAGGAAATTAAAGAATACTTAGGGATCATACAAATGGCATAAGCAATACCTAAGGAGTAAAACTAGAGTGGAAAGTAATTTCTTTTTATTTAATTAGTTCTCGGTTCCTCTTTTCTTTATTAGTTTTTAAATTAATATTTCAATTAAATGGTCAGTGAGAGGCATTGTGTGTTTACTGATTTAGTACAGCTGCTTTTCCAATTCGGAGACAGTAAGAGACTACTCCATTTAGTAGGTCCTTCAGGGAAATTTTCAGCAGAAAGGTGAGGAAGGGCATATTTAATGCAGTAAGCAGAGATTAAGTCTTTCAGACTCTTGCTAAGTATTTAGAGGACACAGCATAGCCATTTAATTTCTTTTTGAAGGCATCATTAAGTGGTTCTTCAAGGGCCTAACTAAATTGCTGGGTAACAGAGGTGGATTTTGCTAAAGAAATTAGGTTATTGTGGCAGGCTTTATGGATGGAGAATTGCTTTAATTATTAGTATTTTCCTTACGTATTTTTTAATAATCCCTTAGGTAGCTTTCAAGATAGTTGAAGTTATTGAAATTCAAAATTGTTGAGAGGAAAAGCAATTTTCTGTATTTCCTTGTATGAGTTTCTCATCCCAAAATTCGAACCAGAATTGAGAGTTTAACCCTGTGATTAATAAGGAGTTATGGGAAACCCTGCCTGTCCTACCATGTCTCCAAGTGTAATGCCACTGTCAGACCAAGTTCCTTATTTGCCTTGAACAGATCCTGCACATTTCACTGCTGTTTGCTTTTGCCTTATCACTCACTGCTCATAGGCCCCTTCTGGGAAAACAAAACTGAGCGGGCTTTATTTAGAGGTCGAGACAGCAGAGAAGAACGTCTCCATCTTGTCAAGTTATCCAAGGAAAATCCAGAACTACTAGATGCTGGAATAACTGGATATTTCTTCTTCAGAGAAAAAGAAAAAGAGCTGGGGAAGGCTCAGCTGATGGGCTTCTTTGACTTCTTTAAGGTAGCAATCAAATTATGGTTTCGGATTAATTTTGCTGTCAAGTTCTACCAACTGAAAAGACAAAGTTTACTTTTGTTAATTCTTTTCAGTAAACAAAACAATTCTGCTGCTGTGGGCGCACAAGTCCATGCAGAGTAGATAAACCACTTGTAATCAATGTCCTAGTGTGACACACTTGTAGAGAAAGCCAAGAAAGACATTTAGAGAGACATCTTGGCTTATTTTTATGTTATAATAGACTGAGAAATTGGATTTCTCATCATCTGGGTTTCTTAGATTTGGGATAAATATGAAAACAATGGACACAACCTACAGCCATTTAAAGTACACTATGGATGTCAGAAAGAATCTTTGTAGTAACAAATCAGAAAAATAGATTAGTGTTTTTGTTGTATCTTAAAATAAAAATTCTACTGCAAGAGAGATATAAAAAATAAAGGGGACCGAGTCCTGTATAAAGCCATTATAATATATAGCATTTGAAGTTCTATTCTGAAGATCAATATTTCAGAAATGCTGTAACAGCCAAGAACATCTGCCAAAGCAGTACATTCATAGTTATTTCTAGTATAATGTTTCAGCTTATTTTATATAATAGTACTTTTCAGGTTATTCTATATAATAATGTTAAGTCAGAATAAATTTACTCTGTTTGAATTGAAGTATAGATTAGTTTTCTTTCCTTCCCTGCTGTACCCCTTGCTCTCTCCCAGGACACTTCAATAGGATGCCCATCAGGCAGTTCATGTGACACAAAGGTTCTTGACTGTCAGCCTCATGTTGAAAACAAATCCTTTTTCCATTATGTTATCCAGAAGACCATGAAACTACACGTGCTTAACGCTAAAACGAGTTTGAAGATGAAAATGAATAAACATGATTACTTCTTGCCTGTTAAAATAATATTTTATACAGTCGTTGTTCCCATTCTGATACAAAGCATTTCACCTTTCTTTTCCTCTCTCTTCACACTGTAGTACAAATACCAAGTGAATATAGATGGCACTGTAGCAGCTTACAGGTTTCCATACCTCTTGCTGGGTGACAGCCTTGTATTGAAGCAAGATTCCCAGTACTATGAACACTTCTATGTTGGATTAAAACCTTGGAAACATTATGTTCCAGTTAAGAGAAACTTAGAGGACTTGCTAGAGAAAATAAAATGGGCTAAGGTAAGCTCCATTATTGATTCAAGTTCAAAGTGATGAACAAACATGTAAACAATTTATCTGAATAGTCTCTTCTTTTGTATTTACACATATATATTTTGCATGAACTCTGTTGAAATCCTGGAATAAGGGAAGTACATTTTGTTGTTAGTATAAAATGGGGAGACCTTATTTGAAGTAACCATCTCTGTTTAGGGCAATACTTAAGTGTTCATTTTAGGTATGGGCGGAAGAGTTCATGAGTCAGAGCCTTAGTATACTGACTAAGGTAATTGTGAAAGAAACAACCAGATTCCTAGATAGTACTTTAATTAATGCTATAGCTTTCTTAGCCCCTGATTAGAGCAGAAGTCACTGCATGTTCTATTTGAATGTACAAAATATTGCTGCTCTCTGTAACATACTCAGAGTGAGAGGCTGGGATCCTGTTAGCAAACAGATACAGTTCTGTGATTGAAAACACCATTTGTGCTTTAAGTCAAAGTGTTGTTAAGGTTAAAAAAACACGGGAAGAGTTTCTTTTCTGAGAGTACTATAGTTCTACCTAAGGAATCAGAGGACAGTACTAAAAGCTTTGCAACATAGACCTAAAAAGCTTGAGAATAAGTACATGAATTCATGCAGTTATTTTTAAAAAGAAGACATTGAATTCCATTGCATTGGACAGGACAAGAGCTGTGGTTTTGTCCTCTGTAAAATTAAGTAGGTCTGGGAGATATTAGAACTGATTATGAAGAAGCTTGTGGCTTGGACAAAATGGTAGAACAGTAATCAACTGAGTTTTCAAAATTGTACAGTTAGTCATGAAAGTTGTTATTGGTAGTCCTAAGGTAGCAGTAAGTGACAATAAAAGCAATCCAGTATTTTTAAACAAATCTGCAATTTTAATCGTGCCTTTGCAATCACCAGTAATTGCAGTTAATTTTTCAGATTTGAATAGCCCATTTAATAAAACTTCTAATGCTAGTCAGGCTTTGAGCAACTCACTGATTGCTCTGTTATTCATTTGTTTCATCTGAATTTTCCAGGAAAATGATGAGGAAGCAAGAAAAATTGCTAAAGAAGGACAACTAATGGCAAGAGAATTACTTCAGCCTCACAGGTTTTACTGCTACTATTATAAAGTGCTCCAGGTGACTACAATAGATCACTTTATTATTCTCCCCGCAGCTGCTACTGATGCTACAAATTTCATATTCAGTCCTTAGATCAGTAGTAGACAATGGTACGTTATTCATAGGAGATCAGTGCGAAGAGCTTTGTTAAATCCTGCTTCATCATTAAAGAAGCTACCTGACATCATAGTTATTTTACAGAATCAGGAATTTTTTTTCTGCCCCCATCCCCAGTCAGCCCTATTTTCATTGTCACTTGGTATTTGGTTTCCAGTAGATCTCTGTGAGAGATAATCTGTATATCCAGTTTTCTTCCATTTCCCCTTCATACTTCTCACATTTACATTGTGAGCTACTCTACTGCAAAACAATGAATATATGGAAAAAAAGTTCCAGAAGTATGACTAGTAGAGTGTAGGGGATGAAGCAGGCCCTGTAGTCATTGCTTCCTTAGAAAATGCAAATCTCTAGTGAAAGAATTTTCTCCTCTCTGAAAATATCTTTTTCCTGTACTGCTATGCAGGCAGATGACAGCTTCACCAGCCACAGGTTAACACAAAGGTTGGAACTGTTCAGTGTACAACAATGACATTTTTATGCATTATCTGCATAAAATGGTTAGGCACAAATGATGACAATATTCAAGTTACCATAATAATAGGCAGAAACATGAAAGGCTCGTGTTCAGAAGCAACGTGGCCCATTAGTAGGTGTGTTACAAAGACACCTTGTGCAGAGGTTGTGAACAATGGCATAAGGAGCTTGGATAAAGGTAGGCTGCTGAGTGGAAGGGAGGAGGAAAATTCTGCTTCATGAATTATATGTTGGTGCTTATAGCATTCTTAAATGTTGTTTACATATTTCAGAAATATGCCGAACGCCAAGCCAGCAAACCTGAAATACGGGATGGAATGGAACTTGTACCTCAGCCTGATGACAGGGACTCAGTGTGCAGTTGCCACAGGAAAAAGCCTTTAAGGGAAGATCTATAACTGTACTGGATGGAGAAAATTACCCACTTAAAATGCGAGACTAGGAATTAAGCTGTGAAATCTAAGATTCTTATGCAGTAGCAGGCATTATTAGTTATTCTTCTTATATTTTCATACTCTTTTCCTGCTCATTCTGATCTACAATGTTGGTTCTTACAGTTTTGGCTCCATGACCACCACCAGACAGACACTGAGCCTGCAGTGGGGAGTGTCTAGGGGATTTGTTTGATGTACTGCATCATCAGAAGGCAGAGCACAGAGCTGCTCGTGTTCCAGATGGGACCTATTAACCGAAGCTTTGTGAGGAACTAGTCACCACAAAACGTCTTGCCATGAGTCAGTTCAAGTTTTTTAAAGGAGCATTTGTGATACATTGAAACAGTGTTATGATTTCTTCATAAAGTTTACCTCAGTGTTAGATTGTTTCTTGTATGCAAAACAATTTTCGAACTAGACAAAGAAAATGAATATTTGAGATGTAATGGTATCAGATCTGGTCATGCTTTCAGATTATTTTGTGGTTTCTGACAGGTGACAGACAACATGATATAACCCTCATCAATTTTAGAGGGAAATGGAGAGCAGGGGGAGAGATTAGAAAAATAAGTTTATAATCATCATGGCTGCGAATCACCAGAATTAAATGCTGCTTTAAAACAGACTCTGTAGCTATCACAGTCACAATGCTTTGCGTGCCAAATCACCACTCTGAAAACCTGTTCCCTGCCAGTGACTGTCTGTAAATGTAGGCACAGATCCACAAATGGACTTGGGAATTTCAGGCCATGGGCAACACTGGTGTCTTAGTTCAACAATACTGTCCACAGTATTCTGGACTATGTGAAATCTGAAATTTCAACCACCTAGGTTTAATTCTTGTGTAATAGTCTAGGGTTTAGAGTCCATGTAAAGCCATTTTTTCCAGAGGGTGTCTTAGCTCCAGACTGGACAAGAGGTTTTCAGGTCTTCTGCTGAAGTTCATGTGCAGCCATGAAGCTAGCAATGCAAAATTCACAAGGGCAGAAGGATCTGGTCATACCTTTGTGATAAAGTCTGCCTTTGGATGGGGCAGGAGAAGAATCCTAGTCCTGGATGCAACTCCAAATACCTCTATTGATTTTTGCCTAAGTTTGTCTGCTTCAAAATGCATGAATAGTCCTGGAAGGAGACAGCAATACCAAGACCAGTGCCCACAAGCACCCATTTCTGTGTTTTCATCTTGGCTAATGCAGCTTTCCTGAGCAGCTCCTGACTCACTACAGTCAGATAAAAACTGTCATGAATACTAAATTCTCCCTACACTAAAAAGAATGGAGATGTCTTCAAGACAGTGGATTTGTCTTACTGATTCAGTGCACAAAATTCAGTGCTCTACATGTCATGCAGGCTTCATTCTTGGTTCTACACTGCAAATTACATAAAATTTCTGCATTAGAACAGGAGGAAAGACAGTATGCTAAATATGGGAAGAACTTTGGCTTTCTAAAGAGGACAATGCAGCTGTCCACCAGTCATTTGTTACATTATGCTGGTTAAGAAAAATACCTGTATCATGTTGCTCTACTCATAATCTTCTTTGCTCGGGTTCTAACACTCATTTATAGTGGATGTATTCTTATTTAACATGAAAACCAGTCCTAGAACTTCAGGCTATAAATACATGTTCAATTCATCTGACACAAAATTTTGTACATCAAAGCTCAGGAACAGGGTTCCATTGCTGAAGTTGACACTTAAGACCGAGTATGTGCTCCCCTTTTGTTCAATGTATACAGTCATTTTTACTGTATTACATTATCTTATTTTGGGAAACTACCCATTATGCCATGTGCTTTTTATATTCACCAGTGTTTATGGAGCTGGTGTGCTCAGCAAAGGCAAGTAAGCATAAAAGATGGTTGAACAACAAAGTTTTTCACATATTTCAAATCAAGAGTCCAAAAGTGATTCATTTGTGTTTTTAAAAATGGGAGAGAATGGGGCGGGGGGGGGGGGGGTTATGACACATACTTCATAGTACTTTGGAAATACCTATGTAGGAAAACTTGTCTAGCTTAAAACAGAAGTCTTTCAAACTGAAAGAAGAATCAGATAAAATTGATAAAATTTAAATTATGACTATAAATAAATGTGAATATTTTATCCCTTCTTTCTTCCCTCATAAAAAGGGAAAAAAACTATTCTTAATTCTTTTCTGCCAAAAAAGTCCTTGCTTTTGTAATAGGCATCACTTCAAAGCAAAGACTAGTTTGTCAACAGAGTGCCTTATGGATGCTTTTATAGCTCACAGGCAAGAAATATCCTGAAAAATATGACTGCGCTCATCTTCTTGCTGTAATTTACAAATTAGTAGAGAGATGGTGGAACTTTTACTACACGTCCATATTTGAGAGAATCTGGTTCAGTTTACAACTATAGCTCTTCCAAAGGTAATAGAAGGTAAGGCAAAGTCTCTCTTCTTTCCATTGGTGCTACTATATGCAATTTAGATTGTGATGAAGAACAATCATAACAATTGCCCCACCAGGCTAGAAGAGATGTCAGATATGTTTCAATTTGCTGAGAAAATTATACCCATCAGCCTGGTGTGTTACAGGAAATGCTAAATATTGAGTAAAACCTGGTTTTGCATGTGAAGTGTAATACATACATTAAATAGAATTTTTAAGTGGCATACATAGACTGGACTTTGTATTATTCTGTGGTAGTTGTTGAACAGTGGCTGCTCAAAGGTGTAAAAATCTCTTGTTGGTGGTAATTTTGGAAAACTGTTACCATACCACAGTACTAAATTTTGCTATAATAATTTCATTTTTTAAACAGAAAACCTTTCCTGTTTTTGTCAGGGATTTACTAGAGATGATAGAGGCAGGTTTATTTTTTTGAAATAGTATGTCCTACAGCCTAGGGCCAGTGTTTTCAAACACAGGAATCTGCAGAGAAGGGGTTTGACATCCAGAAATGTTGGGAAGGCAGTCTTTACCTAAGATTCTTTATTTTCAGATTTCTTCAACCTTAACAGTAGCTTCATATAGTGAACACTGCTTTTATGTCGTATGTATGTCCTAATATATTTAGACACCCACATTTGGAAATACTCAACCTCAGTTTTGTCTTGAAATGAGAACTAGTAAATCCTGATCTGTTGAACATAAAGGAGATACAGTTTCATATATATTTTAGACTGTATTTTTTTACCTTTACCTCAAGATCATCAGTATACTGGTTTCTTGACAGAATTGTGCCAGGCTTGCCTTGTAGATTCATAATTTAAAAACCCTATAATCAAAGCTTGTCTGATGGAATGTTAGATTCAAGCATCCATGCTGGGAAGCATACGCCCGACATTTATTACATTACAAAGTAAATTATTTAGTTAGGGAGGAGGGCTGACAGGGAAAATATACATCGCCTGTTGGAGCACGTCTGAGAAGCTTGCAAAGAAACTCTAATAAGGAAAATAAGCATTATATAAACCTATGATATTATCAGCTCCTTTAGCACTGCAGTTTTGCAAAAATTTTGTCTGTAAGGGCGGTGATGAAGTGCAAGATTTTATATTATTATATTGCTTAAGTTTACAGGATTTAACAGCTAGAATCTTTTTGTCTGTGAGAAGTTGTATAGCATTTTAATGAGGCTATATAAGTACTAACTCTTGAGTTTTGAGTACAATGTGTTGTTAATAGGAAAATCTATACTGCAGAGAGTTACGACACTAATTCTGGATTTTGTTGTGAGAATAAGGGAAAAAGGATTATTTGCATGTTTGTTTGAAGTAATTTTAAACATCTGTAGCACATTCCTTAATTGAGTCTCATCATGTGAGCAGTGATAAGCAGGAGGTGTACTAGCAGGAGTGTGGCCAGCAGGTCAAAGCAGGTGTTTCTTCCACCTGCTTGGCAGTTGTGAGACTGCAGCTGGAGTCCCATGTTCACTTTTGGACTCCTCTGTACAGAAATACATTGACACCCGACATGGACCACCAAGGTGATGAAGGCAATGGGGCACATGGTGTGTGAGGACAAGGAGTGAGCAGGGTTAGATCAGCCTTAGAGAGAGAAGGCTTCTCAGAGGGACACAGCAGAAAACAGACACAAGCTGCATCATGGGAAGTTCCTGTTAGGTAAAGGGAAAAAGAATCCTGAAATGCTATCCCCAAGGAGATGAAGCTTGGTCCATGTGATCTCCAGATGTTCATTATTCTATGAACTGTTTTTCAGTCACACAACAAGCATTTATCTAGTCACATAGCAGCAGGATGAACCCAGCTCTTGAGTGTCTCCATGAGGTGACGTAGCCTTTCTGTGCCGACACTTTTGACACTATTTATGATCATGTCTCCCTTGATAATACTGACAAAGTTTTGCACATACTTTTGTGTTGGCTTGTAAGGCTATAAAGTTATATATTGATATTAATTATACTTTTATACTATTAATATGTATAATAATTTACCTTACTAATATACATTATCACAATATATCCTAGTCATGCAGTACACAGAAGATTTGACAGAAGTGACATACATCGATTTGGCATTACAGGCCTGGACTGAAAGTGCAAGACCTGCTCTTTCAAGAAGCTGCATATATACTTTACAGGTATGAGATAATTGTAAAATATTGTGACTACAATAATGAACCATCAAAGGAATTGATTTTAAACAGCCAATGAGAACATTAATGTATTTGTAAGTTATACATATGGTTAAATGCCAGCATACTCTGTAGGCTGCTGGTGAATGAGCATGACATATTCCCATCTCAGATCCCAGCACTAAAAAATCAGTCAGGATCCATCTGTACCACAGGTTTGCAATATAGTGTGGAGAGACTCAAGACAGCTCAGCAGAATGCCAGAAGGGCCTACCCTATATAGACATGTGAAACATGATAACCTGCCTGCTGAAACCCCACAAAGTACCTTATCTGGATGGAACCTGTCTGAAAGACCATCAGTTCAAGTTGTGCTTGTCAGATTTAACTTCCCCTGTAGCTTACATGACTCCAAGAGGTTGTTTACCATTAGCAGATGATTCTGCCTAATTTTGGGTCAACAGCAGCCACACTTTCAGTTATTGTTTCCCAAAATGCCAAGCCAAGCTGTTTCACCACTCCAGCTGCAGAGATCTGACATCCCATGGCTGATACCGAAGATAAACCAAAATTATTACTACCATATTAATATCCTGCAGGTCCAGAACCTGATTTCATCTTGCTTGTTTCTCTCACCAAATTTTTCTGTTGCAGCAGAAAGGTATTTGAGTGTCTTATTAACTTTAACATGGAAATCTGCTCTCAGAGTGACAATTGGTTAGAATGAAAACTCAGTTTTCTTCCAAATGACGAGGGGTTTTTTTGCTCAGGACCATCAGCTTTTATCTCAGGAACAAGGTAGTTTTGTCAGCACAGTTCATTTCATTTATTGCATGAAAAAAAGCAACATATTATCCCAAACGAAACAAAAACCACTCTGCAGGTAAAAGTTGTTACTCTTTTTTAAAAAGATGCCTGTTACAAATACATTGGTATGTTTGTAGTGAAGGCAAAGCATGAACTGAACTTTATAAATAAAATAAGTTTGAAGGGATATTTCAGGAACAGGCTGTTACTGTACACTGATAGTGATCTCCAAGACTAGATAATTCAAAACAGTAAAGTTTAGAGCCTGGATTATACAGTAAGATTTTATTTGCTACAACATAAAAACCAGAAGAATCAAGAAGACATTATACCTCTGTCATAAGCACTTATGCAAAATTCTGTAGTGAAGAGATTCAACTCTGCCAAATGTCCTTAAGTTTATTTAGGTTTTTTGGCAAGGTGAGTTATTTAGAAAATTTCAAGAACGTATGTTACTGATAGAAGCTGCTTCTCTGCCAATAAATTCTGCTTTCTTCTGCCTTAGGAACAAAGGAACTTTAAATGTGGACTAACCCTCACTGACAAACTCCAGCATGCCTTTTCACACTATAGCTGTTCCATATTATTTAGACCTTGGTATTTCTTCTATTCCCTGAAAGATTTATTTGTGTCTGTAAAGTAACCAAGAGTCAGAGTGATCCCAAACTTCCTGTAACTGAACCTGAAATGTAGGTGTGAATTTGAAATATCTGATTTGTATTAAATTAACTTTTGACTCTTTAAAAACACCAAGCATTTAAAGATCACTTAGATTATGACTTTCTAATAATTGTAAATATTTGGCAATACTTAAATACGGGCATTACATAGATAAGATGCAGAATAATTTTCAGTATTTCTTGTGAAATAGTTTCCAAATTCTGATTACCTGTGGGATGGCAAATTTCCCTGTGATAAAATGTTGTCTCAAATCAAAATATTCCCAAAGATCCAGAAAAACTGTGACCTTTTCCTGAATATTAATAATACTATATGTATAGTGAATTGTTCACTGGAGCTGTTAAAAGCTATTGCTATTTACTCTTTTGCAAGACATATGTATTATATATATATATATATAAAATATATTTATTTCATTGCAGTTCCATTCCAGTCACAGAAACACAAACTATCAATTGGATTTTTTATTTCAAATGGAGAGAAACATGGAAAAATTGGCTTTTCCCTGTAAAACTTGAACCCATCAACTCAGAACAGGCCAATTGGCATCACTTAAAATGCAAATTTGAATGAGGTCTCCTCTACCATCATATGCCTATCCTGTGAATCTAATGAAATAAAATCTTCAGGAAGTCCTTAATGAACACACAGCCCTGAGTTCCATCCACAGACTCAACCATTTACTTGAATATGGTGATGATTGAACTACCCTCATATGCAGCAGATGTTTTCTCCATTCCGGTCCCAAGTCAGTATTACCCCAAAGCCAAAAACAATTCTTCTGCTCGGAAGTCACCACCTTCAGCCTTCTCAAGCAGCTATGGTCCACTGCCAAATGTGTTTGCTGTATTTAATATCAAGTTACACCCTGCCTTGATGACATGCACTAATGTGTAATTGTTGTCAAACTGGATCTGTTAAGTAGGTTACTGGGTGCAGTTGTCACCAGTTCCTTGATGGATTATCTTGTTAAGGAGGCCATTAAAAAAATCACTTTTGATGGGGAATAACAATTATGTTCACATAGAAATGCCAGGCTCTGGTGCCATTAGAGTAAACAGCATTGGATTTTTGCTGAGTGCGTTCAGATTTGTAACAAAATATAAGGTCTTGAAGGTTACCTGATCCAATGAAAAAAATAAGGAAAAAGCACCTACTGTTCATAGACAAATTAAAAATTAGCTTGCTTATCTTTAGGGTTAAGACACAGGACATCTAAATCCAACTAAGCATTTTCCTATTTCTAAGAACTTAATAGCTTAACAATTTGTCCCCTCAATCAATTCCCTTGAACCACCTCATCATTTGTCAAGACTAGCTAAAACCCTAAAGCAAATAAGAAGTATATATATATATACGTATATATATATATACACGTTATATATATATATATATATATACTTATATATATATATACTTATATATATAACGTATATATATATATACGTATATATATATATATACGTTACAGGCTAAACTATGGAGATGAAATTTAGCTTCCTGTCAGTTGGATTTATTTCTCATAGTTACACCATCAAGTAAAATTTTAACGACTTTTGCCCAGATATGAAGAGGCCAATGAATGTGGATGATGAGCTGTTGTTTTCAGGGCAACAGAGGCAACACCCACTGAACTCAAATTGGCCCTTGAAAATTGCATTGTATCAGATTGTGGTCTTCTACTTGTTTCTGAGAACAAAATGGTCTGTCCCTGAAAAATTCTTAGTTCTATAGAAAAAGAAAATATGATACTGGTCACTTATGTAACTCAATTTAATAAGAAAAAATTCTGACATTTTCTAGGGCTTCTCCCTTATGGTCTGGCTTTTACTGCAAAACTGTGTTAATTAACCGTTAATTATTAATTTTGGATTTGAAGTGGATCACTTTACTACATTATGCCAAGTTAATAAATGATTTCAATATTCCCCAATTGCATGGGACATAAGCATTTTCTGATTAAATGAATATATTCTGACAGTGCTCAAAGACTTAAAAGAGGTTGCCTGAAAAGAAGATAGACTGAAACTAAGCTAAGGCTCTCTTTCACACAAAATATTGTTTATTAAGTTGAATCTAAACCTATGAAGTTTCTCCTCTCCCATTTCTTGAAAAAAAAAATCATGAATTCATGAAAAATCAATAGTTCACTAATTGCTGAGACAGATTTTCCTTTGGGAAAGAAAGCAAGCAAAGAAAACAAATAGTGAGTTACAAAATTAGTGTTTCACTTCACAGGAACACTTGCTCCTGTCATGGAGCCAGCAGGTGTTCCCTTGGCTGATATCTCAAGGTCTGAGAGCCGTGACAGCTTTCCTGGCACTTCCCCAGCATTAAGCATTCACTCCGAGTAGGGAAATCAGCCCCTGTGTTTTCAGTTAAACCAATGCTTATTACAGGGTCTGCTCTGTTTTTCCATGGAACAATGCCATGGATCTGTAGTTACAGCTGCCTTATTTGTATAATGTTGCATCTACATTTGTATTCTCCCAATATTGTCAGACTAATACCTGTCTGGATTTAGCTTTGCATTTTAATTTAGTGTTAAATTACATGTAATTGCTTTCTGTAATAAATTTTAATTTGGAGTACTGATGGGGATGAAGGCCTCTGGCAAGAATTGTCTCTTACAACTGGCCTGAGTAGTTTCAAAAGCTATCTTGTGAGTATAGTTGGGCCTGCTTTCAAACACTTTCTATTACTTTCACAGTCTTTTGATCACTGTTTCAAAGTCTTTGTCTTAGAAATCAAGTTGCAATTTCATCAGCAAATCTAGGGTGTGTTTTCTCTTGTGCTTTATGTCTTCTTCTTCAATCAAGGATTTTGAAACTCTTTGTTATATAAAAGGCAACAGGTTTTGTGGAACAGTATCTCCTGGCTTAATCGGTATAGGCATTCTCCTCTTTTATTTACCTGATTTTATCCATCTATCTGATCTAATAGCACTAACCAAATATAAGAGGTTGATTTTAAAATGAAAAAACGTTAGGGTTTGGTTTGTTTGAGGTTTTTTTGCCTGTGATAAATTAAGTAATACAGGATAATATGTGACATGATAAGAAGGATTAATAAATTGAAATTAAATAAAGTTTTTTCTTTCTCTGATACCTTTAAAAATTCTCGGGGCTGGATCAGCAGTGAGAATATGATAGTAATCTTTCAGGTTTTCACATTACTGACAAGGGAAGTCAAAGCAGTACACATGCTGTTACCATATCTGACTGGTCACAGGCTATCCAGAAATCAACCTATTAATTTTTTATCTGGTAATCTCTGATTTAAGAAACAGAGATTCTGCTTACTTATCAAACTGATGGATATTATATAAAAATGCAAATGGACATACACATCCACTTTTAAATGGGTCTATTGGGATATTCAATTGCATGTCTACAACTGTCATTAAAATCAGTGACAAAATCTACTTTGTTGGCAGTAGGTATTATTTTCCTCTCTTTTTCTTTAAGTAATTGGATATTCTGACAGGGAGGATACTCACCAATGCTCTTCTTCCTGAATGTTCTTGATGCAACTTTAAACTCTAGAACTATTCAGTAAGAGAAGTATTATACTAAACAAATACAATCTTTTTAAAATGACTGAGAGTCACTCCCTGGCAGCCACCAGGCACCCCGGGCCTGGAGCAGACCGGGCTTGCTGCGGGAGCGCCAGCTCCCTGTGAGTCACCCCCTCCTCCTGGCTTGATCCTCAAAGAAAAAGGTGGATTTCTCTGCTCATTCCCAGGTGGTGGGAAGCAGATTTGTCAAGCCATGACACAAGTTTCAGCTTGTGTTGCAGCTTACACCTGAGTGTCAGGCTCGGGGAGAGGGGAAAACAAGCACTGTGGAAAGATGCATGGACTCAGAAATCTAAAATGGGGGTAGTTTCATTGTTCAGGAATGGCTTTCTGTGTTCTGCTTGAAAGCTGCCAGTGGGAAGGAACCCACAGGGATCACTGAGTCCAGCTCCTGGCCCTGCACAGGACACCCGACGATTCACACCACGTAGCTGAGAGTCCAAAATTGTGTGTATCCCAACCTCAAGGATGATCACAGAACTATTCCAAACTTTCACTGGTATCCTGTTCACCTTTTATTTCCTTTCTGCTCTCTCATGGTACCCAAGTCTGTTTTCTGGACCAGCTCTTGTGAAAGGCCATTCACAAACCTGCTAATAACAAAATAACTTTTGTTATTCCTGCTTTGTCTTTTGTTATTTCTGCTTTTGTTTTTTTCCCTTTGGTGCATGTCTTTTGTTTTTAATTCAGTCATGTACTTAGAGAGGACGCTCTTCCAGAAGTGAGGACCTGTCCTACATGCTTGCTTGTCCATCAGATGACTCTAATTCATCAATCATATACATATTCTCTCTTATTACTTAAAAAGGAGGAGGAAAAGAATTCTTCAAGGGTCACAAGTAGTTACTTAGAGCTAGAAAAGAATTAGCTTAGAAATTGCCTTTATTAGCTTAGAATTAGCTTTATTTCAACCTGCTTTCAATGTAGTGAATGTGGGACTTTATACCAATACATACTTCTATGTAAAAGTTTTTTCACTATTAGCTTATATAAAAATAAATTATTTATTCTAAAAATGTTCTCAATTTCACACTAATATGATTTATTAGACCATTTCAAATTCTAAAATTATCTAAGGTTGGAATGGGAAAAATCTGTTCACAGTTTTTTTCCCCACCGTTGGTTTGGAATTCCTTTTTTTTTTGTATATTTGCACTTCTCTGCAGGGTGCCCATATATTCCTTTACAACAAAGAACCTGCAGGTGTAAGAGGAACAGATCTTCCTCTTCTGATGAGGAGCATTTACCCTCAGGATGTGAGGGCTGTACAAGTTAGGGAGTGCAATGCAAAGTAGCTTGTTGGGTTCCACTACTGGCTGTCTCACTGCTTTATAGCTGCGGCATAGGATTGTAAAATAAGGCTCATTACAGTAATTTAAATCAGACAGTTATTTTTGATTGCCCCCAGTCTTTTCTGGGTCCCACAGTTATGGATGCACTGTGATGTTGAAAATAACTGAAACTGTGATCCAAGGGAAAACAAAGCTGAACATCAAAGTAAAGACATACAAAACTAAAGGGAAGGAAGAACAGAAGAAACTAAGCACACAGTAGGCAGCTTTCTTTTAGAGTTAATTATGATGGACTGGAATTCATTTCTTACAAGCCACTTGAAAGCTGCTTGATAATTATAAAAATATTTATAGGCCTAGCTGACTTCCTTTGCTTATTCTTGGGAGACTGTGGATGGTGTATTCTTTAGGTAACTTTGTCTGCCTGCTAGAAACCTCACTATGCTTTGCAAGTTTTTTAGTTTCTCTACTAAAGGGCTTAAACCTGATCAAGAGCCTGTTTCTGCAAGTACTGCCAAGTAATTGAAGCAGAATATTCACAGTAAAATACTTTCTGACCTAATTTCTCTGTAGGATGCAAGCATTACAGATCATTATCTTTCCACTTGCAGACAGTGTTGCTTGGTGTTGCAGCAGACACTGTCATCAAAATCAGGCTAGGTACTGTAAGCATCATTTTACTGTATGGGGAATTCTCTGTGGCATTCATTCTGGATGCACAAAACTGCCACTGAATGAAAGCATTAGGAATATTTGCATTCACTAAATGTATTCAGCAAAGCAAGTCAAAGTGGACAAAATTAGATTCCTAAATCCACAATCTCTGCAGTGCTAACCACTTGATGTTATTGACTTAGAGATATGTGGGGGTTCTGCTCTTACTAAACCACAGGTTTGGTTTTTTTTTTTGTTTTGTTTTGTTTTGTTTTTTGTTTTTTTTTTCCAGCTCAATCTTAGTTTCTCTGTTGATTTCAGCCACACCTGATTCTTATGGCAGACTCTCAGTGGCCAGATTTGTTCCACCTGTCTTTGGTCTCTTGGCAGAGATGCATCAGGAAGGAGCACGAGTTGTTCAAGGTGCTTTTGCAGTTAGCAGGCAGAAACTGGGATCTCTGCAGAGCCATTAACATCTTGGCTGTTGTAAAATTGCTCTGGGGAAGAACCTTTCCAGCTCTGGTAGCTACAGAGGGAGCCTGTGGAGTGTAGGCTTCTGATGTGGGTGCTACAGGGAGACTTAAAAAATGGTATGAAGTCCTTAAATGTTCTTTTACTTGAAATATCTTAGTATGTATGTCTGCTTTGGTTTAGGCATAAAATGCTTGTCTCTTGATTTTTGGTGTTTAAATAACTTGAAAAATCATAGTCCTATGTAAATATATTATGCTTTTGCCATATTTAACTAAGTATTATGGCTACCTCACATCAGATTGCTGGAAGGAAGCTAGATTATTGCCCAGATGTCTGGAATTTTTACTAAATTTCTGATTTTCTTCTATAATGATTTGATTTCTGCCTCAAACCTCTTCCTCCTTATTTAACTTCACCTTATGCAAACAATAACATTAGTATACCTCAATTCAATTATACACAAGGAAGATGAAGCATTAGGCACATCTATACTTTTGAATTACTCTAAGGATTTAACTGGTTTTATTGTTGGCATAGGTTTTTGTTAAGCAAGATTGTAACACCACTGTGTCTGAACTTAATTATTTTAGAATTAAGTTTATTTTGGTTCTGACAGTACTTTTTCAAGAGAAAGAATTCATCACTGGCTGCAAATTAAGTCCTTTGCAGCACTTTCTTTCTATTTAACTCTTCCAATATTAGGAAATAATGTCTTGTAAAAAAAAAAAATTCAAAAAAATTGACAAAGGCCATGCATAAATGGGAGTGGTATCATGACTCTTTAATACACACCAGCTGTTTTTCTTGAATCTGCAATGATAAATCATTTTCAGATCATTAAAAATTGAGCAACTCTACAACAAGGAAGTGGTTTCTAAGTGGATGATAATGCATTTTCAGTAAATTCTAGTTACCTCATAGAGAGACTTGGAAGACCAATATTAAAATAATGACTTCTTAATAAATTTTATATGTTAAATGCATTGTGACAGTCAGCAATAAAAGTAAATTACTTATTTTATATAGAGAACATGTTGTAACAGCCTCCTCCTCCAGCAAGAAATCCATTAAACTCCTTGGTGTATTGTCAATTGGATCACTCCTGTACTGAGATACTCATATTTCTAATAAAGACTAACTGTAAAATGCAACAGAAATGTAAAAATATTTTTAATACAATCATATTCATACCTTAACATGGTTTTATAGACATGCAATTTCTTAAAGCACTATTTAACTTTAAAAGTTTCAAGCATGCCTATAATTAAGAGATAAGTAGTTCTTTCATAGCAACAAACTATGAAAAGACCCCTCAGCTACAACTGTAATGCAGATGCTGTAAGGAAGCCAGAAAACAATGACTGAAGCAGGGGAGGGACAGGCTGAGAGCCACATTCAGTAAGGGCCTTTGAAATGAAAAAAAAAAAAAAATTATAACCATGAGAACAAAGACTCAAAAAATAGTGTAGGAGTGAGAAGGAAAGTGGTTGAGAAGAACAGTGAGAAAGAGGGAGCCCACAAGCTGACTTCCATGTTTTACATAAAGTAAAACTGGTAATTTGGAACTGAATGATGACAGGACACTTTTGCTTTAAGTAATTGTTGCATATCCTGAGGAGAAGCAGAGGCTCAGAGGTTTGTGTTTATCTTTCTGTACATAATGTCTGCCTTAACACAATACCTTGTGTATTGTCAGTGCTTTACGAGACCTTGTGTGTAAATGACAGAATTAAGGTGAACAGATAAGAGATAATTATAATGAGATGTGTGTCACATGGCAGCTTGCACCCACAGTGGTTTTCACAGACCTAAATAAATTGATTTAAAACTGGTTTTAATTGCACTGGTAGGACAGCTGTGTGCTGATAGGGCATCAGTTTCTGTGTTTTGACATAGCCAAGGGGCTCTTAGTGTGCATGATCTACTTATGCGTTATGCAATGCATAGGTGTGTTAGCATAATAAACTGATTAAGATAGTGAGGCAAGCCTAAAAACCAAAACAAAATCATATAAAGACCCAGATTCTCCTTTCCTTTACACCGAGATGATTGAAATGGTTTGTTACAATTTAGGACTCGCACTGCTGTCTAGAAAAAAATCCACCAACAAACTTATTTTGTTAAAAATAGTTTTGGATTTTAAACTATGCAACAATGGGAAGTGGAAAATATTAAGTAAAAAAATAAAGACTCAAACCCAGAGCACTGATATCAGATATGTCTCATAATTACAGAAACTACTTTGTTAGATGTGCCATCTTAGGGAAATTTAATTTGCTTATATCTCATTTCTGCAGCACAAATAGAACACAAATAGAAAGATGTAAATGATATATTTATTCACGTTTCCACTCTCGTTTAGACTTCCAGTTTATTAAGTCACAGTATGATCCATATCCACACTGTAACTTCAGTGGAACAGAGGCTTTACTCCCTTCCAAGGAGAAACAGATTTCATATCACGACCAGACGTGATACCAGTTAACTTCACTTTTTCTCTGAGAAAGACATTTTTCCAATGGATACAAATGCCAAGAGGTCATTTTTCTAGTATTTGTTCATATCTTCTCTACTCCATTGTGATGTGGATTTGTAATTTCAGCAGAAAAGCTGAAACAAGCACTGCCCGACTGAAAAAGCAAATGTCAGCTGCTTTTATAGTAGACTCTGCTGTTTACAAACACCAATGTCAATGTTCTGCCCAAAATGCATTTGCAATAATGTAGTTTTTCAGAATGCATTACTTCAGAGAACAGCACAAGGCTTCTGCACAGTAGGTTGCCGAATTAATGCTCAAACTTTATACTAAAAGCTGAAAATGTTGGTACAAACTGATCCTTTATTTTTAGCTCTTATTACCAGGATTTTTTAATCTTTAACCTGTTTCAGTAACATTTACCTAAATACATTCTTCCTGTAAAGTAATCACCTCTAAACTGTGATTCTTCTCTCTCTCTGTCCCAAGCTGTTTGCTTTACTCCTGGCAGTTCACAACACTGAAGTTCCTTAGGAGAGGATGTTGTGAGGGGATGTTCTGTCACAGTCAGTATTGCTTTTAGGAAAGATAAAGCCAAACCACAGGGCTTGCCTGCAGCATCATCCCTAAGCCCTAAAGAACCATGGAATTCACCTCAGATTTTGCTTAACTAAGGTCTTTGCCTTTATTGCTAGATAATAAAGGGGTGACGGAGCACAAGGACCATGGGTTAAGCAAGTTGGATCCCAGATGTCCCACACTGCCAAGTCATCATCTACTTTATGGGCTCAGCTTCAAGCAGCACCACTTGGCTTTTTCTCAGCTTTAGTTCGTCAGAGAGCTTATTTCAGAAATGGTGCAAAAGGGACAGTGGATAGCACTGCCTGGGGTTTGGCTCAAGAGCATTTAGACACACTGTTCTGTGGGTGCAGTCAGAGTCTGGTAGGAAAAAGAAATATAAACCAATGTGAAGACATAGTAAGAGATACTAAGCAAGATTGGTTAGACATTGCTTCTTTTTTTATGTCTGATTAGAGTAACTGAGAAGTGATGTTACTTTCCAATTAAAGACTTAGATACTAATGTGTGAGCTATTTCAGGTATCTTGGCAAACTTCATGGAATGAAAATCTTAACCAAGTACAGGTCTAGTTCTGATGTGCCTGTACTCAGGTCAGGACACTCCAAGAGTCTCTCCTCCACGAAAGCATTTGTTTTGGGAGCTGCCCATGAGAGGTATTCATTTAAGCAAAACATCTTGATTATTGATAAGTGTTATCCAGAACTTCTATGGCATGTTTAAGTGCTTGGAAGCAGGGCTGGAGACCTGAAGAAAAAATGTAACTGTCTTACAATGACTGATTGCATTGATAAAATTAATGATGTGTGACCTTGCTAGTAAGATGTTAAATTCCCTTAAAAGAACAGGACAGAGGGCTGGGGAGGAATGCTGAGGAATGTGCACACCACAAACTTCAGCTACTGTACAACTATGTAATTTCAGGTTTTCCTTTGGCTTGATGGGCTCAAATCCAACAGTAGTGTCCAGGCAAAGGTAAGCTCAGGGATACAATGACTGGAAGGTGTCTGGAAATTCCAGGTGAGTCATGAGAAGCACAACTGCCTTGTTAGTTTTTATTTCATACAGTCTGAATGGAGCACTTTTTGGATAGTTTCCAAAGCCTATTTTCTCTGCAGTGGCTTGAGAAGCACCTAAACATTTTGTCTTCTAGAAATGAGAATCTATGAGAAATCTCAAGGCCTCTCTACCACAGACAGAGGTAGTTTGGGGAAAGTGTATGTGGAAGCAAAGCTGGGTTTGTATGGAAGAGTTAACAACTGATGAGAATCTGAAAGATCTGTATCTAGATGGAAAGAAATCGCATAGAAGCAGGATCTGCTCTCCCTTTACTGAGGATATAATGTACAAAAATACTCCAATGATTAAGATGAGACAGTAACAATTTTTGGGTGCAGATAGATATGGAATACAGTAACATTACAGATCACCCCAGGACAGTCTCTGGTGAAGAAAAATACTTGAAGGACTTTGTTTAGTCATCTCCTACCTGCCATTGCTTGATAGGACATTTCTCCCTTTCCTAAGTGTCTTTTAAATTCCACATAAAGAGCATGGGCTCTGTCAGTTACTTTAATTTTCAGAGAACAAACAGATCATTGGACAGTATTTCCTCCCCACAAAAAAAGCCAGCATGCACTTTTGGTTGCAAGGATCAACAGAAATTTATGTCATGAAAACATAGTACAAAAGACTCATTTTGCTGTGTAGACAATATCTTACAGCATAAAATTGTGAGAACACCATAGAAATAAAAACCTATTAAATGCTGATTGGAACAGGAGTTCTTCATTTATATTGTTGTAAAAATGCATGAAATGTAAACTAAGGGTACATCAACCTTTATTCCTATTTTGAAATATAAAGATGGTTTGGGACAATTTATTAACTATGCAAGGTTTATTATTTGAATGGATTCTCTGATTATCCACATTCACTGACTACCTGATTTTTTTACTTTTAAGAAGGAGCAATGTCTTCTGTAAAACCATGTGCACTCAGAATGAGATTTTTGTGCTTGGAATACAACTTCAGTGTTTCTGAGAGGTGTTTACTGCAGATACAGTGAATGTTTGCTTTACAGGCATTTCCAATATGCTAAGTTTCATTTGTATAGTCAATATGTCTTGTCAAGGAAGTCAGTGCAACAAAAGCTAAGTATTTTTTATTGTTTTATACTATTAGAGTAATATAAAGTACCAGCATAATTTGATTTACAACAGGAAAAAAAAGCAGCCATATTTTATTTGACCTAAAGTTGTCATTTATATACAGAAGTATGCATTTAACTAAGCTTAAAAAACCCCAACCCCAAAACCCCTTAATTCATTACACATGAGGTTTTCTGGTTTTCTTTTCTTTCACTGTGAAATTTAAGTATAACCCCCTTTTGGAAATGTAGTTTAACTGGTTATATCATGAATCCTGGATTTTGGATCATTCATTCTACACAGTCATGTTACCTCCACCAGATATGAGAGTCCTGCATTTTAGCAGATATACAACAGTGATGAATCTCATGTTTTTAGAGTGCAACAGATCCAGTCTGCCCAAGCAAAGTCCTTGTGGGTCACAAGGAACATCAAAGCAGTGCTTGGTGGTTTAGACTGCAGGATGCACCTAAGCAAAATAAAAAATGTTTCTCAGTAACACGTTATTGAAAAAAAACCCCAAACCATCCACCAAATGCTAAAATGGAGAAGGTGTTGTGGTTGCTCTTCATATAAATTTTGTGAAATACCAGTTTGAAATGTTAAAACACTTAGTGCAAAAAAAATAGGTTTCTTCTAAAAGCATGCTGGATCCTTCCAAGTCACTCCCAGGATTTCCATCCATGATAGAGACGGCTCAGATTTTTAGGGTCCATGGCCTGTTGTATGAGGAGGTTCACCTGCCCTCCCACACTGAGCACTGTTCCCTCCTCAACACCTTTCAGCTTCTCCTGAAGTCTCATCAGAACACGCTCAGCCACCTTGTTAAAACTCTGGTCGTCACTGCTGGCAGAATAAAAAAAGAAAACAGGTGCTGTAGGTATGGATCCTGAACAACATCCAGTGAGAAAACCGTAAAGCAAGGCAACAGTGCAGCAAGAGGAGGGTAAGAAAAAAATCTTGCACCTGGCTTTTCTTTTAGGCTCCTGTGGATCAGTACCAAGTGTAGAGCTCATGTCAGCCTCATCTGCTGGCCTCTGCTGCAAATACAAAGCTTTCAAGGGGTTCATGGTCCAGTCAAAAAGAGGATCATAGAGCAGCACCTACACAGTAAACAAACCTCTTTTTAATTTCAACTGTTAATTATACCTAGATCAGTGCCCTAGCACTGTTGGAAATGCTCACAATAACCACAGTATTAGGAGGGTGAGTGTTCTGTTCTGGTTTTCTTTTTTTTTAATCAATAGAATTGGGCTAAATTGGTTAGTAAATAATCCAAACTGCCTCTGAGCACTTGCAGGTATTTGTGTTGTTCATACTTGACAAAGTTTTGCCAGCAGTCCCATCTCAGCAGTGAACAGGTAATTTTGTAATACACTGCTAGACACTAAAGAGAATCATTACCTTTTAATGCACAGCATAACCTGCTTTCAAAAATCAGTTTCAGTCTGTTCTTTGTGGCTTATGCAAAGAGGATTTAATTCAATCAGTATTACTCCTGCTGGGGATGTTGCACTATGGCTAGAAGCATGTAGGTGTTGGAGAGGGAGAACTGCCTGAAGGAAACAGTCCCCACAGAAAATGCAAACTGGTTACAACTTTATCAAAGATTAAATGAATTAACAAATCTGACCAAGACCATTATGTTCTAATTCAGTACAAAACACCCTAAATGAGTATTTGGTGCAGTCATGCATATGAAGACAAAGACAAGAAACTGAAGACATTCTGGCAGGTTACTATCCAAAACCATGAAAAAAAATGCTTACTTCTACAATAGTCAACAAAGCTTCTTGAGAATTTCTCATAACAGCCATTGTTTTCTCACAGCATCTAGGAAATATTTTTACAGTATTTTAGGTTATTTTTGGCAAAATGAAATTGTATTTTTGTAATTTAAATAATGGATATTGGTACTCTACTTAAAGTTTAATTTCTAACATAAGAGTAACCTCTCTGACATTTTTTCACCTGGGGAAGAAAAAAAAGAAATTTAGACATAAAACCAAGGGAAGACTGTGTAATTCACTGATTATTTCTCTGTGGAAGGAGATGACCTGTTTAACTGCCTGAAATATTTCAATATGCAGAATTAACCACTGAGTTAACACTGCCTATTAGGGTGTGCTATATTGCTAGGCTGGATGAAAACATGTGCTGGGATGCTCTGGAACGCACTGGAGAATTGTGGTAGGGTTGTTTTCCATGAAATGAGCAGACCCAGTAGCCAGACTACAAGCAACTTCTGAAATCCCCCCAATGAGTTTTGATACAGAAGAGGTTACCTACATTCAAGCAAACTAAGCTTCTGAAATGAATCTATCCTGGAAGTTTCCCATAGGAAACTATCCTATGAGTCAGGTATTCCTGTGAAAGAGGGATTGTGCATCCTGTCTACTTCAGAATGAGAACACACACACACGAAAGTCAGCTGAACACATTCCCAGCCAAGTGCCTGTTTACCACTTACAGCTGTACTGTTCAGTACAAATCAGGCTGGCTGAGGCAGAAACAGCATCTGCACCAGTGCCTTTGATACTCTTATTTACTTCAGCTGCAGCCCAACAAGTCAAGTTTTTCTGTATCATGGTTTCAGAAGTAATACCAAACTGTGAGTTTGACAGCATCATCTTTACACTAGGAGGGGCAGTGACTGCTCCTTCATGGGTGTACTAGGAACTACTTATTAACCTTAATTGCTGCCTTAGAAAGACAACAGTTACATTATGTGCTTTTTTAAAGACATGAAATTTGGGGGTTGTAAGCATTACTTCATGAACATCGTCAAAGTCTGGAATGAGAAATGTCCTGCTATTTAGGAATCCCTTGGGTCATTCACAGAAGGTAGGATGGAGGTTGACTGAACTCAACGCATTTGGGATTCTTCTGTTTTGCAGTCCAGATCTATGGTATTTATATGGAATAGATCTATGAAGTCCAGATTTATGGAATTCGGATTTTGCACTTGCAAAGTAATATAAAATATATAATCCAAAAGGGAAAAAATACTCCAAATTATATACATAAAACTAAACAGAAATTTAGAGTCAAAACAAATTGGTTCAAAGACATTTAACAGCTCCAAAAATATAGCACGGCTCTGAAAGAAATACATAGTTCTGAAGGAAAAATAATTCATTCTGAATCAACGCTTAGCTGTGGAGCCTCTGGAAACACTGAGCTCTCCCTGAATTCCACAAGAGGGTGATAATAACCCATTGGCAAGTGAACAGTATGAAACACTGAGCAACAAAAATTAACTTTCAGCTGGTTATATAAATACAAGCATAGGAGTTAAAGGTCAGTATTTAGGTTTGGGTGTTACTAGCAGAGATCTCAGTCCCCTCTGAAGCATCAGAACTATTTAACATGTAACAATCCCAAAGCTGGAAGTACTCTGCTGCCTCCTTCTCCCTTTGCAATCCAGGGGCACTCACCTTCTGAAGACCCCTTCCACACCGGTGATACCCATTCCATCCACAATGTCCCTGGTTAACCTAAATGGAACAGTCTCTGGTATGGGAAGGATTTTGCCTTGCTCAAAAGCAACCCCTAAATGAAAGGATGATAAAAGTTAAAAAAAAAAAAAAAAGTTAAAGAAAAATTAAAGTTCTCTTGCTGTCCTACTTACCCAGATCTATATGCACCAGTTCTGCTGTTTGTTCATCTATCAAGATATTCTGATCATGTCTGTCTCCAAGCCCAAGAATGTAGCCAACTGAAACAAAAATGTAAGTGCTGAAACAATGTCATAAAACCCACAGAAAGCCTAAGAAAGATTACTGGTGTAATTGTAACAGGCAAAAAAAAAATTAATATTGAGAATATTTCTTCCCCCCCATATATAGATGTTATCCAAGGAAAGAGCAAATATCATTCCACAAATCCAAAAAGAAAATGTTGACTGAATGAAATTGCAAAAAGTTTATTCTCATACAGATGTGCATTGTTTTATCTGCTCCACAGATTTCTTCCCCATTTCTACTTGTAGATCAAAGATTATCAAATAATACTGCAGCTTTCAAAAAAAATTAAAAATTAAAAGCAAGTGCATAATAAAATCAGGTTTTGTTATTATTACTATCGTTAGCAACCCCCCCTAACAAAATAACTGTTGCCTAAGTCAGTTTTAAAAATCTCCAGTGAACCAAATTATAAGGTCTTTCACATAAGCCTATTTCACTTCTTTAGTCCTTAAATGTAGAAAAACACCAAACTACATTTCCCTTACTGCAATTTACACCTTTTACTCTTTTTATTAGCTGTTGGACATGGACAGCAGTAGTATTTCCTACGAAAATCTTTCATCTGACTTGTACTAAACTACAGATTTACTTTTTTTTTTTTCAGTAAAACGGGAGTGCACAAGCATGTTACCTTTTAAAATGGGATCTATGGCAATGTATACAATCTACTAACAAATGTCTTCCAGAGACTCAGTACAGAATTGAGTCATCCAGAAAAAAAATCCACAGTACTTACATTAAAGTATTTATTTTTCTTTATTATGACAGAAAATTAAAGGAAATATCCCTGAGCTTAAATAACCATTTCAGCCATGGATAATAATGTCAGTACAAAGACAGTAAACGACTAAGCTTTGCAATTCAGCTAAAGCATCAGA